CTTTCATTCTCTCTCTGCCTTTCCTTCTCCACCGGCCTCCGGCCTGAAGACGGTTCCTTCCCGATGAGCCAGCGCAGCTTCCCCGCCTCCTTCTGGAACAGCGCGTACCAGGCGTCCGTGCCCGCTCCCCTGGGCAGCGCGCTGGCCACCGCGCACTCGGAGCTGCCCTTCGCCACCGCCGACCCCTACTCGCCGGCCGCGCTGCACAGCCATCTGCACCAGGGCGCCGCAGAGCCCTGGCACCACGCGCACCCGCACCACCCCTACGCGCTGAGCGGCACCCTGGGCGCCCAAGCCGCTGCTTACCCGCGGCCGGCCGCGGTGCACGAGGTCTACGCGCCGCATTTCGCCCCGCGCGACGGGCTGCTGATGCCCGCCGCCTCGGGGCGCCCGGCCCGCCTCGCGCCCGGCCCGGCGCCCGCGCCAGGCAGCCCGCCCTGCGAGCTCTCGGCCAAAGGCGAGCCGGCCGGCGCCGCGTGGGCCGCTCCCGGGGGACCCTTCCCCAGCCCCGCGGGGGACGTGGCCCAGGGCCTGGGCCTCGCTGTGGACTCAGGTAAGCAGACAAGGAAGATTGGTCCCTCCTGCTTGTGCAAGACCCCCTTAGGTTTCCGGGGAGACCCCTGCGGCCTGGGGGTCTGTTTGGTGGTGGGGTACCAACGCGGTGCCTTCGCCTTGCGGGATGAAACAGAGCCGGCGTGACCTGGCTGGTGGATATTAGCGGGCGTTTGGGGTTAGTTTTTGTTTTCTTCTGTTTGTGTGAATATCGAATTTGCTGGAAAGATTCCAGGGCTGCCCCCCTTGCTGTGTGGGCCACCAACAGAGATGTTCCGTTAAGTATGCACACACAGGATTTCAGAAAACGTCTACAAAAACAGCAAGACAGTCATTCATATTTTTATATGCCTTGCCTATCGAAATATATTCAACAACAAAAAGTGCCTTTTTTATTTTCAATGTGACTGCTAAACACATTTGGAATTATCTCGTGGCTCCCATTGTATTCCTAGTGGACAGCACTGATGGAGGGTACCTGCTGGGCATGCGGTTTAACCCCTGCTACAGCGTGTGGTCTCTCAAGGAAAGAGAGCTCTCTGAGTCTGTGAAGAAGCCACGCAGACGGTTTTCAGGACGGGCAGTGTGCTCTTCTGTTGTGCAGCCGGTGGGTCTGTGGGTCGCTATGGGCTGGAGCCACCGCAACGGCAACGCACAACAACAATATCTGTTTGGCAAATAAGGCTCATGCAAATGTGAATCTTACGAATGATTTGATCTTAAGGATGTTTGTGCTCTGAGATAAGGGGTTGAATCCAATAAGTGCATTCAGAAGGGAGTTTTCCCCTTTATTTGAGAGCAAATGGAAATTTTAAAAAGCTATGTAATAAATGCTTATAGCCTTGCCCACTGGTTCTCTCAGGGGAAGACTTGACATTTCTGTTTACTTTTACTTTCATTCAGCCCTTGAGATGAATTCTGTGACATTCACAGTGTAATAACAGAGGGCTTTACAAGGCACCCTCCATTCACCACCCCCTCCACCCACCCAGCCTCTCTCTCTCTCTCTCTCTCTCTCTCTCTCTCTCTCTCTCTCTCTCTCCCCCACCCACCTCTCTGTTTTATTTTTCCCTAAGGTAGGCAACCTCAGCACAAAAACAAAGCTCTGCTCTGGTGGTCCGCAGCCCACCGTATCCCCTCTAGGGCTTGCTAGTGGGATTGCCGACTCTCAGGACTGAAACGGATTTGGTTTGTAACAACCGCTTCTAATTTTGGTTTGCAGCCCGGCGATATTCCCTCTGCGGGGCGTCCCTCCTGAGCTGATCTGCTGACCCACAGTGAGCTTTCCCAGTCCCGAGGCTCAGCCTTGGTGCCTCCCACTTCACGGATAAGGACCGAGGGAAGGACAGAGACCTCAGACTTCCTCTGAAAACCAAAATACATATCTCCTGATAGTTGGTCTAAAAATAACTCCTGCCAAAAGAGCGCACCCTGAGACACTGAATTACATGGAAGGAGTTTTGGCCAAATCACTGGAAATATCTGTGGTGAGATTGCTTAGTCAGGTGATATGATATCATAAGCTTTCTTGGAAAGGGGGAAAGGAAAAAAAAGACTTTCTGGTGTGAATAATTTTTATTGCTGATGTTAATTATTTTATTTCGTTGTATAATGTGATCATCACACTACTGTCAATATCCTCAGATAGGAAAATGTATTTGCATCAAAAACGGTGGTAGAGATGTAAAAAGAAGGCAATTCTTTCTTCCTCCCGGAAAAGCCTCCAGCTCTCCTCATGCCTAGCCCTGCCCAACAACACACACTCCAGACACAAAGACACACTTTTCCCGTGGACTGTGAACATGGAAGCGTCAGTCTGCATGTGAGTGGCAAGTGGCTTATCTGGAACCACCTGCCCGAGTCTTACTGAAATGCAGCTGTTGTTAAGACAACTGTTTAAAACTCCAGAAATACAACGACCAAAGTGGCACTTCCCAGTGTTTGGCACAACAATTTCACTTGCACTGGATATATTTTGTGTGTGTGTGTGCGCGTGTGCGTGTGTGAATATCATATTTTTTACAAGCAACAGTTTACGATGAAAGCCGACACCATTCTCTACCTTCTCACCACAAATTCTGTCGCCCCCTTGATCCGCCTCTGGATAAAAAAACAACAAGAGACCCCACGTGTGTCCATGGAGAAGACCTAGGCATCACCACAAGGAAAAGGAACAGCCACGGAGTCACCAGTACCTCCACTATTTCTCTGCCTCCCCGTGGTGATCGGTTACTTCCGGGTCAGAGCAGGGCAGGGCCTGTACTGTGGGCAAAGCTGCAGGTGATGGGGAAGAAGCAAAGAACATCAAAGATGTCTACTTACTACCCGCTCAGCTCATCGTGTTGCCTCATAAGAAGAAAATAAACATCTTCGCATTTTCTCTTGTTGAATGACTCCCAGTAGTATGATCTGTTAACGATAATAGTGTTGGGTTGTTAGGCGCCATCTAATTGGTTTTGACTCGCAGGGAGTCCATGGACTAGAATAGAGCTTTCTCATAGCTATTTCTAGGTTGTGGTGTTGATGGGAGCAAATGACCAAGTCTTTCTCCCACAAAATTTCTGGGTAGATTTGAACCATCAACCTTTGGATGAGCCAGTCTGGGGCTTAGCCGTCACACCTTCATGTATCCTTATTGTTCGGGTAATGCCATCTTTTGTTTTTCCAAAATGACAGCAATGCTCTGAGCTCTGTTACCCCCTCTCTGCCTCACATTAGACACCCTCTCTTGGTTTCCTGGATCAATCGCTCATGCTCTCAAGCAATCAAGAGCTTCCTATTAGCATTCGCTGCGTTAGAAGCGATTCATCCGTCAATGGAGATTTATACTGTTCTCCAAGAGAGAATCATTGCTCCCTCCTGAATTCTACACTCTGGAGATCTCGAAGAGCCCTAGATAAAAATGAGTTTGAAATGTATATAAGAAACTGCCAGGCTTTCTCTTTATTTTCTCCTGACATCAGTTACATTCTTTCACGAAAGTACCCCAAGGATATTTTGTGTACATGGTTGAACCACAAAAATATTCATAGTCCAAATCTTGCCGTTCGTTGTAACGAGGGAGGAAAATCTGGTTTACCTTGGCTACTGGTCTCTAGAGTTGGAGCATGAGTTGGAGCAGTCACCTGTCCTTCCGTTTTGCTTCCTGGGAAGTAGTTATGCACCACGTTATGAGAGCAAGACTAATTTTGCTCAGATGGAAGGTATACTTTGATTACATAACACTAAATATAATCACAATAATGCTTAATATCCATCATGAAGCAGCCACGGATCTGAGTGTTTCTTATAGGCTAACTCATGTAAGCTTGATGGAGCAATTCTATTTTGTCACACAAGGAGTCACCATGAGTCAGAATCAACTCCCTGGCAATGGGTTTGTGTTTCTGTTTTGTTTTCGCCTCTTCCCCACCAGAACCCCAAGGAGCACAGAGAAGAGACACGGTGCCCAGTCACACAGCTTGGAAGTGAGAAAGCCAAGATGCATCCTGAGTGCAAAGACTGCCCTCAGTCCTGGCAGGAACTGTGTGCTGGGCTCCAGCTTGTCTCTCTGCTGTTCAGCTTTGGGATTATTTGCTCCCGCACAATGCTGAATGGGGACAGGAAAAGAGGCAAGGTGGCAGAAACCGGATGTTTTGCAAATTTCACAGAATCCCAGGACTCCACGGAACTATCATAGGGCATTGTCCAAACTTCTTTATCAAATGACACTCCCTGTGAACTATCCAGAATGAGCCCTGGTAAGCTCTGTGGTTAAGAGCTCGGCTGCCAACCAAAAGATTGGCAGTTCAAACCCACGGGCTACTTGATGGGAGAAAGAAGAGACCATCTGTTTCCATAGAGACTTACAACCCTGGAAACCCTATGGGACAGTTCGACTCTGCCTAAGGTCACTCTGAGTCAGAATTGACACCATGGCAACCGGTTTGGTACCTTATCCAGCCAGAGAGAGATTTACATGCTCTCGGAGAGAATCATTATTGTCTCCTTAATTCATTTAAATATTTTAACAGCCTCCACCGCTCTCAGGTTCTTCACACTGAACCTCACCCAGTCAAGTCACGTAGGAGCTAGCCTGAAGTTTGGACATTGCAGCAATTGCTAAAATTAACTTTGGACCTCTCTGTGGATTTTTTTAATCCATGTTCCACTGGCATGAATCCCCGGTATATACGAGCATAAATAACATGCATGAAGTTCCCTGTGAGTTACCCAGCATTTGCCACTGAATGTGCTGCTTCAGGGGAAACACATGGCAGTGACCGCTTTGGTAAACATCCTAAAATCCCCAGCCCACTCCACCCCACCCTCGAAGAGGCTGTGTCCTAGGCCCCACCTATGCTAGCGTTCACAAGATCTATGGTCAGAACTCACGAGGAACATTTTCCCAGCCACGAGGTTCTGATTATTGCAACCTCTCTCCGGAGCTCCATCGGACCTGAATATCAGGTTGTTAGCGAGGAGACTCATTCACTGGAACTAGCCTTTGGGGCAGTTCTGAACACACGGTGCAGACTGGCCAGCTGGGCTCCAATGGCCTGGCACAGAGGACTCGTGAAGCAAAGCATTTCCTTCTCTGTTATGCCCTTCTCAAGTGGAGATGCACGTCCAATCTGCACCTGTAACAACACGGTCTGTGTAGTGAGAGCATCCCAGCAACCTGGGCGATCCATAGCCCTCCCTAACTGCCGTTCTTTAGGCTCACCATGCCTCGCGAGGTGTAGACTCCTAGACCTGCCTTGCTAATATTAGTGAAACCGCAGACTTCAGCTTTCCTTTTGCACTTGGCCTCAGCCGAGGGGAAGGTGATGAAAAGGGGAGAGACAGCTCTCCGCCACCGAGTAATCCTTTTGCCGATTGCCCTCTGGCTGAGAACTCGGCTGCCCAACCACAGGGAACTCTATCTGTTCCACGCCTTCACTTGAGAAGAAGCTGCCATCCCATCTCACTTTCCCTTTGAAGTTTTATTTCAATGCATGGCGAAATCTAGCAGTGACTTCAGATGGATTCAGGCCTGCATGGCGGGGTGTTGGGATTCAGACTCAGACTGAACTCTTCTCTCTCCCCCTTCTTTCTGGGGAGGGACTGTCTTTTCTGTGTCCTCCAGAATCTGGGGGATCTTTAACGTCTACTTTGCTTCCACCCATAAGCTTTGTGGTTAAGTGTATGCCCCTCTCCATGTGCCTAGTAAAAGGAATGAAGATGCCTTTTATTTAATTTATTTATTCATTGACTTATTTATTTTTGTGTAGGCACTTAGTGATTGGTTCCCTTAGAGATGGAGGAGATTTAATAAATAAATGACCACTGTCCATATCAAACTCACTATCCGTACATTTCATTTGTTAAGGTACTTCAGTAGGCTTCGATGTGAAAAGCGTGGAAGAACTGTGGAAAGATCCTTCGGAAAATGTGGGAAATGACTGAAATGGAAACACCTAAGGATCCTTTATACATGTGCTTCAACTGTTAGTCAAAAATTTGCATGCAAGCTATTCTCATTTGGGCTGTGCTTTTCAAAGTCTTCGCATATGCCAGTCATCCTCATTCGATTTGGGAGATTTATTATAAATTCCTAAAACCCAGAAGCAATGAATAAACGTCCCAGGGGCAGTATCATTATTCCAGTGGCTGTTTCTGTGTAACTGAAGGTTTGATCATTTTCACAAGTACCAGAGGTAAGTGAACATATACCCGACATTTCCTGCACCCCCACTCTCCTTCATCTTCCATAAATAAATAAGGCTCTATCTATACTACCACTGTATCGACACAAGAGAATATTAATCCACAAGTATAAGTACACACACACACACACACACACACACACATACCCACACACACAGATGCAGGCCTGCAGAGACTCAGTGTGCCCTCAGACAGGCACAGACACCAATGATGATTCTCTCTCGACAGACCAACTGGACTGCCCTTTCCTTCTATTTAACTCTGGCCCCAGAGAGCTGGATCATGGAAGAGACACTTGATAGCTGATGTTTCCGTGGTTAAAATATTTGTGAAGTTAACTCATAATCTGAAAGCAGAAACTAATAAATTATACGGTGCTAATTGGAACTGGAGTCAAGTTGTCAATCATATTACCCTAAACAGAGAGCGACCCTCGTCACCTAAAAAGGCAAGGCTGCCACGGAGAACAAACGGCTCCCAGTTGTGTGGGGCACACACACGGTCTCCAGAGCGGGCCGCTCTGATGGGGGCAGGGCTCCTGCTGCTCATTCAAGCTCCTGCCAACAAGCTCTCCA